GCTCTTCCAATCGGTTCGATCGATAAAACAGACGACTTTAGGATCGCCTTAACAAGTTACTTTTAAAAAATAACTCGTTACTCATTGTTACAAGTAACTCTCTCTCTCTCTCTCGTTAGGGTTATCTTTATTCGAAAAGTAAAAAGTTGAGTCATTATAAATTCTGTTATTTAATTACAAATTTTGATGACTTTCATTTAGAGTGAAATTCAACTATGTCACTGACTGCCTAATTTAACATAAGATCTAATAAAAAGTAACGAGTTTATAACAATAACGAGTTATTTTTTAAAAGTAACTTTTCAATGTATACAGTCTATAACATAAGAAGAGATTTATATTAAGCATGATCAAAAATAATTTTTATAAATCTCGCTTATGCACGTTCTATATGCATGTATTGTACATGTACAAACTAACGATAACGATTATATTCGTTATCATTACTCAAAAAATATAATTTCGTTCAATTATCATTGCATAAAATTACAAAAAATATAAATATATTGTTACCAATTCGTTACTAGAAAAACATAATGGCATTATAAGTAACGCGTGATATCCCAATCTTTCATATATGTACGATTTTATATATATGCGAGCACGCATGTGTATGACCACAGGAATAGATTTTTACTGTTACACTTTATTACATATATTTTATAAAAAATGATCTTCTCATACACAGATCAAGTAAGGAATTTAAAGTATATTATCCCTGAAAGTATGTAAAAAATGTTTCAAACAGAAGTTATATAATCTGAAGGGGAACAAATAATGATATTATATTTTTCTAGTTTTCTACATATAAAAATTAAGATATTAGGTAAAGATATAAAAAAAATCAATAGTTGATGAGATACTTTATATTTAATGTCAAAATATATCAAAATAAAATATAAAATATATCGTCAACTATTGATTTTTTTAAATCTTTACCTAATACCTTAATTTTTATATGAAAATTAGAGAAATCATGTAAAAAATCATATTCTAAAAAAATGACTTCCATATGGCCTTAAAAAATTAACTTTTAAAATTGATGTTATCATTATTTATTCCCCTTCAGATTATACAACTTGAAACATTTTTTACTATGACACTTACTTTCAGGGATCATAAATATTATAAACTATTATTTTTTAATATCTTAATAATTGTATGCATAGAATGAGATAAATCTGTTGGTGTAAAGAAATATATAATTACTTTTTAAGACAAATGTCAAATGTAGTTGTATAGCTTGTATAACTTTTAAATGTCCCACTTTTTATATTGTATTGAATATAATACTTACATCAAGTTGTGTCTTAAATGCATCAGCTGTACCAATCTTATGATATGTTTGTGGGATAAGAGGTCTTCTGAATGTAGATTCCTTAATAGATGGGACTCGAGACGAGATTACTGTTTCGTTACTTCCTGTGTTATCATATACCTAAATAGATATTTTGTAGCATTAAAAAATTGATTTCTCTTAAAATGCAACTGATTTCTATAGCAAAATAAGTAAAATATTCGTTACGTCTTACTTTGTTTGTACCATAATTATGTTTTGCCAATGACAATAACTTTTGTAAAACCAAACATAAACTGTTATCACGCATGACACTTGATGAAGCTGAATCAGTCGTAAATTGTTCATTAGGTAGCCAATCCCACCAATATTCAAGTATAATCTTGGATTCACGACCAAACTAAAAGTTAAATTTAAAAAAATTAGAAGCTATATCTTTAATAATAAAAAAAATAATATATATTACACACCATTAGAAAAAGATCGCCTACAGTAATCGTGTTTGCTTCTTCGACGTTCCAACCCTTTCGAATTCTTTCGATAGTTTCTCTACCAGGAAATCTATTTGGCTCTGAGTGATGTTCTGATGATGATTTTTCTGTATTATTTATAATCGTCGGTTTTTCAGATATATTGCTTCCTGTTTCTAAGAGATCCACATCGCTACTGATATCTGGCAGTGTACAATTTTCATCAGCACGATTTAACAGCTTTTTATCCGATTTATATCGCTTAATGCCTTTTTTCCCTACTCCTTTTAAATATTGGACAGATCCCAACAGATCTTCCCTCGAGCTCTTCAGACCGAGACGCTTTTCATATGAATTCAAACTAACACTGTTACTAGTAAGATATTCTCCAAGATTAACCATTGGTAAAGCAATTTTACATCCTTCTGGTGGAGCAACTCGTAATAAACAAGTATCTTTTATATCGTTAACAACAAGATTTTCCACAGTGGAACACTATAAATATTTAAGGATTACTATAAATATCCAAATCAATATGAATTTCAGTGCATAGTTGAAAATATACAAAATAACGATAGAAAAGAAAATATACATATAATGAACAGCATAAGAGTTAAAATGTTGCAATATATATAAGGATACTGTGGTATATTTTGCGAGTCGCCATCGCTGTTGTAAAAAGATTAATAAACTTGAGAGGCGTCGTTGTATGGGGAGAAGCGTACGAACTCTTGGATTCATGGATGCTGCTTGTACTTGCCACCAAGCCATGTTGTTACGTGGTCGCAGTTCTATCATTATTCTAGATGGTAATTTAATTTCTTCCTGCCAATCTAAAGTAAAAAACAAACATTTTAAAGTTCAATATTAATTTTAATCAAAAAATTTCGTTTGTCAAAATTCTTTACCTATAGTTATTTATTACAAATAGAAGACTGTGAATGACACAGATGTTATATAAATGTGTGGATCAAATTTAATTCACATATGTATTAAAAAAAAAAGTATAATTTTGTGTCTTTAAAGATTTTATATTACAATGTATTAATGTAATATATAGTATATATTATTTAATTCTCTAAATATTAAAAAATTCATATACCTTCTAACTGGTTTAATTTTCTAAGTGCTCTACATATTGGTGTTTTAATTCTCATAGTTTTTCCTCTAAGCCTGACTTGTGTAGATCCCCAATATACTAATTCATTCAATCTTAAATGAACTTTCTCATGAATACGAGGTAATTTTCTTCTAAGTTCACCATAATTTATTAATCCATATAATTCCTGGGATGTTTTTTTGACATCTGTATATAAAAGAACATATTATGTACTTTACAGCATATTATAACATATTTCCATTAATATAAACGTTTTTACATAGTGTTTATATATTAATATAAATACTTATATTTTATTTGTATTATGTTAATATAAATATTTAAAAATTCTAAACCTTCTGAAAATTTAAGATGTTTTGATATCTTTAGCCACGTTCTGTAATAAAAATGACGAATTTGCTCTTTATTTTTTATCATGACATCTGAGAGACCTCGCTTTTTGCCTTGATTTAGAAAGTAGCTTTGCAGCGCATCAAAATCTTTACCATATTCGTTAAGCGCTTTAAAAAAAGTATTTTTATCTTCCATAGACCACAATTCACAGGAACGTTTGAGAGATTTTACTTTAACTTCAGTGGTTTCTTCATCTTTTGCATCTATAAACAAAAAAATTGTCGTTTAATTTTAATATTATATATTAATAATTAAAATTAGTTATATAATTGTTAACATACCTTTTTTCTCGATATTGTTAACATCGTTGTCAATTTTGAACTTTTTAGCACCACGGACAACACGAACCTGTATATTTTTATTATCCGTAAAAGACTTTGTATCAGAACATGTTTGATTCACTTGAGAACACACAGGAGTCGTATTGTTAATTTCAGTATCTTCAAATTTTGTAGAATCGTCCATTATGTTATATTTGTTGTAATTTATAGGATAGATTCTTTTTAATATTTAAAATAATTATTCAATTTAACTATCTCATCTCCAGTAATGATTAATTTATGTTTATTTGTTTTTGTGTAAAACGAAGAATCTGGCAGAAAAAAAGCGTTATTCTACCTCGAGAAGCAACAATACTGTCACAGAACATACTAATTAATTGTTAAAGTTGACAACTGGTTAGACATAGATCTTATATACCTGGGGTGCGTTCCAAAATTTTACTCTGAGTAAGGGTGCGTTTCCACTGAGCGCGTCACACGCGCGTCACCCGAATTGACCAATCAAAACATTCCATTATGTATTGTATAATTTGCCGCGCGATCTGGGATTTCGTAAAGGAAGATTTTTTTATCTAAAATGTCCAGTAACCTAATCGATGCGTCGCGCGGCAAATGATGCAATAAAATGGGATATTTTGGTTGATTAATTCGTGAAGGTGCCATTTCATGCGCAATGTGCAGTCGCAGCAATTCGTTACTATTGGTTAAAAATGTTACTTAGATAACGCACTTCTGGCGCAAAATACATTTTGCCGCATCTTGTTGAAGTTCAACCGAACGAACAGCAAAAGCGAAAGAGCAGCAAAAGCGAAAAAGCCTTGTCAGCCTAATCGTGTGCAAGCCATGTATTATAAACTTATGATATAATAACAGAAAATGTAACTTGTGATATATAACAGAAAATACAACAAAAATGGCATCAGATAAAGTACGGAATATTTATGATTAATTTATTTTTAATAAGTCTTAATAGGGTCTAATATATGCAGTATACGCATGCGATTTAAATCGTAACTTCAATCTATCGACATCGAAAACGTAACCCTCACAGCATCGGATACCCAGTGAGAAGGCTGATGTCGAATCGACGTCGTTTCGATGTCGATGTCATCGAAAACTCATCGAATCGAAATTGACATCGAAAATCAGGCCATTTCGATCAAATTGTTTTGACATCA